TAGTATAGTGAAAAGTAGTATAAAGAAAAGTAGTATAATGACAAAATACAATTATGTAATGACAGAATACACTCATATAATGACAAAGTACCATCATATAATGACAAAATACCATATCATATAATGATAAAATACCATCATATAATGACAAAGCACCATCATATAATGATAAAATACCATCATATACTGATAAAATACCAGCATATAATGAAAAGTACCAGCATATATGATAAAATACCATCATATAATGACAAAGTACCAGCATATAATGAAAGTTCTCCACATAAGGCAGTTACGGCTTTCCATACTATTTTGCTTTAAAATGAAAATATTTACATACCTGAATTCAGCCAATCAGGTAAAGCCTACCCATTTATTATTCTGCTTCATCTTGTTCAACCAGGAAATGATGTAAAAATCTGGGTCTTTGGTACTCTTTTTCCTTAACTAAATATCCTCATCTTTAAACAATATCTTCGTAAGAGAACACATCTGATTGGCTAAGCACTGAACCAATGAGGGTGAAGTTGTCAAATTTGTTGCCATGACAGTGCCATGGGTTAAAGGTGGACATAAAAGTTCATTGGACAATAATTGAAGGTTTTCAATGTCTAACTGTTGGAGGGCAGCACTGGCAGCCATTCCTGAGCCAAGACTGGCAGAACAGGAGACAATCTCGATATAGCTGGAGAGTTACAGTGGTCGATCAGTTTTAACAGAGCTGTCCTTCAGAACATCTTGGCCAGCAATGACTCACTACTCAACAGCTCTCTGTAAAATAATCAAACAATTACATTCAGAGTCAACAACAACACATTGCACTGGGCTTTTCACTTAATAAGACTTCACAACAAAATTCAAGATTTTCAGTGCATAACTTACACAAAAGAAAGCATCTGATTTTATTTGTTCTATTGTGATATCCCTTTTCCGTTTTCTGACCTGTGTATGAAGACATTAGAAGTGTCCACTATCTGTCCCCCGGTGATGCTGGACTTTCTCAGTCCCTGTGGGGGACTCTCTAACATCCCCCGGTGATGCTGGACTTTCTCAGTCCCTGTGAGGGGCTCTCTAACATCCCCAGTGATGCTGGACTTTCTCAGTCCCTGTGAGGGCCTCTCTAACATCCACCGGTGATGCTGGACTTTCTCAGTCCCCGTGAGGGCCTCTCTAACATCCCCCGGTGATGCTAGACTATCTCAGTCCCCCCGTGATGCTGGACTTTCTCAGTCCCTGTGGGGGCCTCTCTATCATCTCCTGGTGATGCTGGACTTTCTCAGTCCCCGTGAGGGCCTCTCTAACATCCCCCGGTGATGCTAGACTATCTCAGTCCCCCCGTGATGCTGGACTTTCTCAGTCCCTGTGGGGGCCTCTCTATCATCTCCTGGTGATGCTGGACTTTCTCAGTCCCTGTGAGGGACTCTCTAACATCAGGGTACCAGAACTTGACCAGGACACCCTCACTTCTCAGGTACACCTCAACCTGTACTATCTCATTAGACTGAAATGGAATGAATGAGGCATTTTGAAATACAGCAAAACTTGGTATTACGAAATCACTGGGACCTATATATTTACTTCGCTATATTAGTAATTCGTTATAACCGCATAAGAAATCGATCAATTTTACATTTCTGGGGATCCAAGATGACTTCGCTATATCCGTAAATTCGCAATATGCGTGTTCATACTAAACAAGTTTTGCTGTACTCATGTTACAAAATTTTCATTTTTTTTATGCCATTGCCTTATATCTACTCTCCACCTTAAAAACAATTGACTTTTACAAATGCTCAACTTACATGTGCAACATAAATAATGATAAATGAGAGCCTTACATTGTCAACATCTAGGATATTTCCAGTCAGACCAAATGTTTTGAACATACTGTGGACAGCAAACTTGGGCAGCACTGCGGTGCCTGCAATGGAGGTTTCTGCGGTGTTCCTGATCACCGCGGTGGTGCCCTTCCTCACTCTCTCTATTGTAAACTTAGCTAGATCCTCCTCAATGTTCTCTATAGTGGTTGGAGATCTCGTTGTATTCCTCCATTCTCTTCATAAAGAAACTCCACTGTATGTCTAGCAATATCTGTCATGCCTAAGGAATACATATTTACATGTATATGTAGGAAGAACAAAAAATACACATAAAAAGGAATTTCTCAAAGATAAACATTTACAACAGCTTGAAAGCTAGACAATCTTCTGGGTTGTACACTGAAAAAAAGGCTCAAACTTATAGAAGGGAGATTTGTGCTCATTGAAATTACAACTTCTTAAGACCTAACTTCACAGTTTCATACATATTGAAAGGATAAGAAAACTAGAGGTACTGTGAGCAATGGGCTCACTAATTGATAACCCCAGCCTCCCATATGTGTATAAATGGCAGTGTACATGTTTTGCTATGGGAAACCCAAAATATGTGTCAGATCAAAAAGTAAAATAGGAGGTGCAAAATGGCAATATTAAATAAAGATTCTGTGAAAGTTTCATCAAATTTCATTCAGTGGTATAAGAGGAGTTGCGGATAAGAGATGGGTACCCCAAAGCGTAACAGACGGACGGACGGAATTAACGATTACTATATACCCTCCCGCTTTTCAAGCAGGGGGTATAATCATGTTTCCCGCTGTCAAACTTAAGTACCGTTACTTTTTTCCGCATGGTATAAATTTACACTTTATTTGTGGTCACAAATTTTCCACGGAAATTTGTCCAAGCATACTTAACATAGATGCAAGGCATATAGTGACAGCCTAAGAAATCCATGTAATTTTCAATCCGCTGATTAAATGGAAATTGAGATTCCGCGGAGTTATGAACCAATGGAAAAAAAGTATGTCTACAGAAACTATAGTAATATTAACTGTGTAAACAGATAAAGTACCATTCTGTGGTTTTGGTAGTGTAGCAGTTTTACATGGGGGGTCCTTTCGGGGCTTTGATTTCCTCCACCATGGTGGTATCAGGGCTGGGGGCTTCCCTCGTTCTCACTGTCAGTGTGGGCGTGGTGGAATGGCAGGTGACAGAAACTCTCCTGATCTCTCTGGTCAGGTCATTCACTGCATCAGCCCCCCCCCCTTGTGTTGCTGTCCCTCGGCAAAAGCAAAAGGCCTGGTCCCGAAGTTCGCTCTCAGATTCTTGTGTTCTAAAAAATATACCCCCATATAAAGCATACATACAGATATCAAGTTATGCAAATTCTGCTGTTATCTGAATCTCACATAAATGAAAATAAAACATTGGAAAGAGGGGAGGGGCATTATAACAAGAGGCCCATGGGCCACATCGCTCACCTGAGAAGCTTTGACCATTCTGTTCTTTACCAGATTTCCCCCTTCTTATACATAATGCATCCCCACCCTACCCCACTGATCATAATTTAGACATTTTGAAATCTACACTACCCCATGAACTTTCCATGGGCACATATGTTTCAGCCTTTTTGGCCCAGTGGTTCCTGAGAAGAAGATTTTCAAAGATTTTTCATATATATTTCTATGTAAAACTTTGATTCCCTATAATGGCCCTTCCCCCGGGGGTCATGATTCCTACAATTTAGAATTTACACTACCCAAGAATGCTTCCACATAAGCTTCACTTTTTCTGGCCCAGTGGTTCTTGAGAAGAAGATTTTCAAAGATTTTTCCTATATATTTCTATATAAAACTTTGATTCCCCATTGTGGCCCCGCCCTTCCCCCGGGGGTCATTATTTGAACAATTTATAATCTACATTATACCAGGATGCTTCCACATAAGTTTCAGCTTTTCTGGCCCAGTGGTTCTTGAGAAGAAGATTTTCAAAGATTTTTCCTATATATTTCTATATAAAACTTTGATTCCCCATTGTGGCCCCGCCCTTCCCCCGGGGGTCTTGATTTGAACAATTTAGAATCTACATTATACCAGGATGCTTCCACATAAGTTTCAGCTTTTCTGGCCCAGTGGTTCTTGAGAAGAAGATTTTCAAAGATTTTTCCTATATATTTCTATATAAAACTTTGATTCCCCATTGTGGCCCCGCCCTTCCCCCGGGGGTCATGATTTGAACAATTTAGAATCTACATTATACCAGGATGCTTCCACATAAGTTTCAGCTTTTCTGGCCCAGTGGTTCTTGAGAAGAAGATTTTCAAAGATTTTTCCTATATATTTCTATATAAAACTTTGATTCCCCATTGTGGCCCCGCCCTTCCCCCGGGGGTCATTATTTGAACAATTTAGAATCTACATTATACCAGGATGCTTCCACATAAGTTTCAGCTTTTCTGGCCCAGTGGTTCTTGAGAAGAAGATTTTCAAAGATTTTTCCTATATATTTCTATGTAAAACTTTGATTCCCCATTGTGGCCCCGCCCTTCCCCCGGGGGTCATGATGTGAACAATTTAGAATCTACACTATACCAGGATGCTTCCACATAAGTTTCAGCTTTTCTGGCCCAGTGGTTCGTGAGAAGAAGATTTTCAAAGATTTTTCCTATATATTTCTATATAAAACTTTGATTCCCCATTGTGGCCCCGCCCTTCCCCCGGGGGTCATGATTTGAACAATTTAAAATCTACACTACCCCAGGATGCTTCCACATAAGTTTCAGCTTTACTGGCCCAGTGGTTCTTGAGAAGAAGATTTTTTAATGACCCAACCCTATTTTAGTCTTTTCTTGATTATCTCCCCTTGCGAGGGGATATGTCCCTTCATTTTAACAATTTAGATTCCCCTTCACCCAAGGATGCTTTGTACCAAGTTTGGTCAAAATTGGCCCAGTGGTTCTTGAGAAGAAGTCGAAAATGTGAAAAGTTTACAGACGGACAGACAGACAGACGGACAGCTAGACAGACGGACGGACGACGGACAAAATGTGATCAGAAAAGCTCACTTGAGCCTTCGGCTCAGGTGAGCTAAAGAAGCACCTCACCTTTTTTTTGAATATGAATGACAGGATACATTCCACCAGACACATCATCCATGTAGGAATTGAGGCGGTGCCCGTTATACGTGAAGTAGACCCTCTCCCTGGGGGTCTGTCCCTGTGTGGGGGACTCTCCTGTCCTCTCCCAACCTATACCCGCTACGTAGCCAGCATTCAGGGTGATGTCTAGTCTAACACTCCTCCACTGCAGTAGACTGGCCCCACTGTAGTGGACAGCCTTACCATTGCTACACAAGATTTATTGCTGATCACATTTTTTTTTTATCTTGAGAACAAAATAACCAATGATACAGAAAAAAATTCTCCCTTGAATTAAAGGCTACATGTTATGCAGATGTAAAACTATAGAAAAACTCAAATTATACTGAAGGACTTACTTTAGGAAGAGGCATGTTCCTACAGGGTTAGTCCAGGCTCCATCTTTCTTGTCGGCCAACGGAGCAAAGCCGAACGAGATGACCCCTCCACTCTCCTCCTGACTGTCTCCAAACGAACAGATCTGCAGCTCCCAGTAAAACGCTGGAGCCTGTATTAAAAGTAAAGAAATGGGGCAACTGTTTCTCTCTTAATATTTTTTGTTCAGTTTTGAATTAATGGGTTTCATGTACACATAGAAATTTAAAGGAAAATATAGGTGAATTCTAACTTATGCTAAATATTAAAAGAATAAAGATTAAATTCTTTATTTTTAAATTCAATATAACGGCATTCAGTGAGTTGTAATATAGAAGCATGTACATGAATATAAAAATTTAATGACTTCTATGAAAGAATATTTTTCCTGGTATTGCTCTACCTGTTGTGGAACTGGTTGGTTGGCGTAGATCATGGTGCCCCTGGGTAGTCCACTTCCTGTGCTGGGGTCACCAAGGAAGGTCACTCCAGTCATGTCCTGAGAGAATACCGAGGCCCGAACCGGGGGGAGGGATCGATTGGCATCCAGCAACATCTCCTGATTCTGTACAAAACACAGTTTACAATTTTTAACTTGACAAAGTGTATACTATATTTCAGATTCATACACATTTTACCTCACTTATTTAATGATGCGCAGCGTTTGAGTTTAAGATTGAGCTCTTTGTAAACAAAGCTTTACTTTAATTTTGCTTAATCCAGAAATTTTTCATTTTTAATCATTTCAACTTACTCACAGCCCAACTGTCAAGCTTGCTGGGTGGAGGTGGAGGTTTAGCACAATCCCTGTATCGTAACCTAAGTATGTTGCAGTGGGCTTCCACAACAGTCTACCTCCTGTAATATAAAAATACAAATTTTAGTACATGTAAAATGTCTCAGCTAATCATTTGTTAATAAAAATTTAGTGAAAAAAAAATGAGTAACAATTAAGATTTGACAAACCTGAATTACAATCCTTTGCCAGGGACTTCAGAATATCAATAGCGGATCCACAATGCTGAATGAACTCCTTAGTGAACTCGATGTCCTGTAGATACTGAGTGAGCACCATACAGGCTTGGGTCTGTAGCTTGGCCACCACACGACACACCTGATTACTGAGACTGTTACCATCCCCTGTCACAGGCAAAGTCTGTTGGAGGAGGCATGTCCCGTCGTCCTTGGGGAGCAGAATGGCTTTGATGGCCATCACCAGGGACTCCGTCACTGGCACACTGGCAGACTTGTAGATCTGGATCAATAAAAAAAGGCCTTAAACATTTAGCTTTATAATGTAATTCAAAATTGTCCAGTTTCTCTCTTCTTACATTGTATACAAGTAAATCTCTATACAATAATGCCATTAATATGTTTATTTGCATAGAAAAAAAAACTCCTATTTTTAATACAGCAAATTTGAAAGAATGTGCATATCCCTTAAAATTTAAAGATTTTGGTAATTTATTTTTTTTTATTTTAATAGCTCATTTCCACCCTGACTACAAAGAAATCATGTTCATGACACTTTTCAACTGCAAAATTTGTTTGTTCCTCATTTTTACCTCATTCCTGACAGGGAAGAGCCTGGTTAGCAGAACCTGAATGGTGTCACTGAAGCGTGGATGTCTGTCCTCTTCTGTCTCCGGATCTAAATGAACCGCGAACATCCCTGAACCACAACTATCATCTATACCTGGTCCTAGCATCTATGTCAAATAACAAGAGAAATACAGTCTAGAATAATTGCAGAAAAATTACATGTACTGAATTTACATACAACAAGAAACCCAGGGGCCACAGCGCTCACCTGAGCACATCGGCTAGGAAAAAGCACGTATATGATCAGAACTGAAAGTTTACTACGATGGGGGGCTTGAATTTTAACCCCCCAGCGGGTCATGATTTGAACAAACTAGAATTTACACTACCTGAGGATGATTCAATATATCACTAATTATGGCTTTGAATTTTGTACAAAATTTGTGTAGTCCTGGTTAGCTCCTTTGTTTATTCAATGTACACAGATAAGTCCCTTTGTTTACTTAATGCAGCAGAGGTGTGAAAACTGAAACCTACATCACAGGGGCTTGTCACGAAATATTTATCTTCTTTTAATAAAGTTACCCCTACTATAAAAATACAAAAGTGTATTTTTATAGTAGGGGTAACTTTATTAAAAATAAATAAATATTTCGTGACAAGCCCCTGTGCCTACATGTAGGAAATCACGTCTCGCTTGAACGAACAGAGCTGACTAGGTAACTATAGCTTGAGCAATAAAGGGTTACATAATTGTTTGAAATAATATAATTTGGATTAAACAAAAGGGGGGAAAGTGTTATTGGGAGATGAAGTTAGTAAATAAAAGATTTTTATCAACAAAATCTGGATCTATGTAGATTGTTTTTTTTAAGCCGAAAGTAGGGAAACATGACGAAAATTGTAAAGAATGGCTTCAAAATTTACCTACTGAAAATTGAAAAATGTGTACATTAATATACCATTAACTTACAAAGAGTGAAAAAGAAATTGGTTTGGAAACAGAATTATCTTTAGTATTTTAGTTAGTAAATTACACTAAATTAATTATATTTACAATAACATGAGCTTGCATATTAAACCCTGGAGTCTCCAAATTGTTTATAAAATAAAGTCAAGTTTCAAACCTAATTTTCATTACTTTTTAATTTACTTCTTTTCACAATTAATTAATGAAATGATGAAAATTTCCATTTTTAAAAAATGTCATATTTTTACTAGGTCTGTAGCCCCCCCCCCCCCCCCCCCTTCCTTACCAGGCAAAAAAAAATATAATCAAGAGGACATTTTCTGTCAAGAGTTGGCTGATATCAATACAATATTAAATTAATTGTGTAATTCAAACATTATTATTATTTTTTTTTAATGGATACTACCATAAGCTTTAAACATTACAATTTTAAAACAATGTCTGTGTCAGATAAACATAATAAAAAAAATTGAATAACAAAAAGTGCATTGCATTCGAGAAATCAGATGTAAGTATGCCTTTCCTTCAAGCTTGTGTCGTGAAAAATGGCGAAAAATATTTTCGATCCAGTGGGAGCCCTGCTTTGAAGTACAGTGAAAACTGTCTAATCCGACACCTGAATAATCCGACATACTGTGAATTCCGACGTTAAACTTATTTCCCATTTTAGTATTTTCTTTGTTTTTAACACTGTGCTATCCGACACCCTGTCTATTCCGACACAAAATTTGTCTCCCAGTACATGTCGGATTAGACAGGTTTCACTGTACTTGAAAAAAAGTTTTCAAAAGGTTTCCCTAAATATTCTTATGTAAAACTTTGGTCAGCCATTTTGGCCCCACCCTAGCCCCGGGGCCATGATTTGAACAAACTTGAATCTAGTCACTACCTGAGGATAATTTCACATGAGTTTCATCTTTCCTGGCCCATTGGTTCTTGAGAAGAAGATTTTAAAAGATTTTTCCTATATTATCAGACATTCCTACATAAAACTTTGGTCAGCCATTTTGGCCCCACCCTAACCCCAGGGGTCATGATTTAAACACACTTGAATCTACACTACCTGAGGATGATTCCACGAGTTTCATCTTTCCTGGCCCAGTGGTTCTTGAGTTGAAGATTTTTAAAGATTTTTCCTATATATTCCTATTTAAAACTTTGATCAGCCATTTTGGCCCCACCCCAGCCCCAGGGGTCATGATTTGAACAAATTTGAATCTACTCTACCTGAGGGTGATTCTACATGAGATTCATCTTTCCTGGCCCAGTGGTTCTTGAGAAGAAGATTTTTACAGATTTTTTCCTACATATTTGTATGTAAAACTTTGATCGGCCATTTTGGCCCCAACCTAGCCCCAGGGGTCATTGGCCTTTGGCTCAGGTGAGCTAACATTGGCCTTTGGCTCAGGTGAGCTAACAAGAGATATAAAATTTGTAAAACACTTATGCCCCCCTTCCCCAAATTAGAATTTTTCCAAGTCCAAGGGGCATAACTCTGACAAAAATGGTGCACTCATACCCAAAACAAAACCAGCAGATAAATCAGTATACCAAATTTCATTTCAATATGTGCAGCCTCTGCAAAGAACTTAACCTAGGTATACATGTGATAAATCTGTGCTGTGAGTAAAACTCATTTAGTATGACCCGTACGAAATTCAGAGACGTATTACGCCTGGATTTTTTCCAAATCCTGGCGTACAAGAGACGTATTCTTAAAAATACGGTTCATTTTCAGGCGTACACGTATTTTTGCCAGAAATACGTCTCCTTTTTTCCAGACGTAAATTCTAAATCCGGGCGTATTTTCTACTTAGTCTCTTTGGCACAAGGAAATTAAAACTTAGAAAATTTCAAAAGGCGTATTTTTTAAAATTCGGGTGGATTTTTCAACTTCGCCAAAAAAACTTAGTCAACTCATTCTCTTTTTTTAAAGTATTGAGTTGCATAAGAAACATTTTTATTATATTATATAACTTAAACAAAAAAAAAACAAAGTATTGCATGATTGTATACATTACAATATTGCATTTAGTTTGTTGTATTAAATATCAAAGCAATTATTTTTCATAAATTAAACTGATTTTTTCTTTTAGAACTTTTTTTTAGAACATTATCCCATGGACCTAAAATTTTGTCATTCCCATTTTTTTTTTAAAAATCGATATTATTTTTCTTAACGCAAATGATTTCTATAACTGTAAAGTAGATAGTTTATTGTTTGAACTTCATGATTAATTGTTTAGTCAGGCTATAAACATACATGTTATTAAAATTAAATGTTTTTCTTATAAAATGATTTATATTTGGTATATTTAGATACTCTGTTACATTACCATCAACTTTCACTTCCCTAGCCTAACCTGCTGGGATTGTGCTAATTACTTACAGATGTGTTGAGCATGTTTAGGAACGACTTATCTGTGATGTTGTAAACCTAAGAACGCCTTATCAATTTATATCCGGTTTGTGTACAGCAGTTCTATTTCCCACCCTAGTATCTTTTTAATTCATATAATGAATACACCTTGTTTATACATTGATGGAATTTTATTTTTATGTTCTAGCTGTAAACAAAACAGCATTTTTCTTCAAAATTACAAATTGTACTGAGTAGAACTTCCAGAAATCATAAAAGAGTTTAGCTAACTAGGGGGTTGTAAATAACAGCATCTGCATCCAAGTATTTGCGCCAATTTTAAACCACCAGGCAGGTCATGCCAAGAACAATGAGATTAGAGAAAGCCACAACAAAGCACAGATGGTGTAGAAGAGGTAAATATTTTGAAAACATAGCTTAACATTGAAACTTTTTATCTATGAAAATAAAAGACAGCTGCATTTGCTTTTGATTTGCAGAGCCAGATCTGTTAATGATTGAAAATTGGGTCAGTAGTATTTTGAATTACATAAATTATTCTTTTTCCAGAAAATGATTTACATCTAAATCCTTATCACAGTTGGAAAATTGATTGAATGATGAAATGGTCATAAGAGGAGGAGAAAAGATCTTGCAATATTAAGAGTTGACCAGCAGCATAGCTTTCCATAAATGCAATAATGCCAGTCAACTGTAGCCATTTGAAGATTGCATCAGGAAGAAGATGACCGTTTGCAATGCCAGTTATAAAGCATTCAAACTTCTTTTTGTGAATATTTCAATCTATGAAAATGTGATTGGGAAATGTGATGTGAAACGTGAATGACAGAATTGCTCGTGATTTGCATCTTTTATGCCAATTTAGGAGTAAAAAGAATGGCTGGAGTACTCGGCATGATTTTCAAAACTGTGATTCACTGTGATTATTGGAATGTTTCAACTGTTTACTATAAAACTCAGCCTTGGATGTTAAAATGCTGTGAAACGGTTAATATATTCTAACATGTAACTGTGCTTTGAAAAAGTAAATGTAAGATTATGATTTTTTAAATTTTAATGACAATCCTTAAAGCTGAACACGACTCGTAAATAGACATACGCCATTTTTGATAGCATTATCTACGATACATCAATACTATGGTATACTCGTCGCTTTCGTTACACCTGACTGCTTTATTGTCACAGGTATCGGCGTGGAATGGCGACCCGTGTTCGTGCTGGTTATCTTGCATTACCTTTGTTTATATTTTATTGCAGTTACGTTTGTCTATGCTGTTTGTTTACTGCTCTGACTTATACAGCTATAATTGTAAATTTATTTGGTATCTTACTTTCCTGCATTAGACGAAGTATTACGATATTATTCTCTCTACCAAGTCCTGTATAGCATACGTCCGTCTACACCGGTGTCGACTGATTAAACTGAACAGTCTCTAATTCTTGCCCTATTTATATGGGTCTGCAGGGTAGCGAGTCTCGGGAACTAAAATGGCGGATACATTTCTTTTACGAATCGTGTTCAGCTTTAACTAATGAATCTCATTCACATTTTATCACACTGAAAAATATTAAGAAAATAAAAGTGATGTATGCTTAGCTTAATTTGTCTAATCTTTTTTTGCATATGTAGTCAAAAATCTTTGTACTAAAGTTGATTGTACATTTATATTCATACTTAATAGTTGTAGCTCCCATTGCTGTAATGTAATTAATATTTAATTCAAATCTATTTAAAGCAGGCGTATTTTTTGTACAGGCGTATTTTTTTGTACGGGCGTATTCTTTTATACGGGCGTATTTATTTTGCAGGCGTATTT